TCTCTATCCTCCTCAAAGAATGTCTAAGGTCCATACAAATTAAGGCATGGCTAAACAGCTGGTGGAGAAATTTCTCCAACCTGCCCAGATTCCTTGAAAATGCCGACTGACATCCATCTTTCCCTGTATTCTGGCAACTGGAAAGGTGGGAAAACTGCACACTGCATTTTAAGTCCTGAGACAGGAAGTAACCAGTAGGAATTCATTTTCCAGGGCATTCATTAAAATGTCCAATAACAGTTATCCTGTTTCGATCAACAAGATAAGATGACAGAAAGAACAGAGAAGGTGAAGGGCTGTACAACGAGGAAATTTTCTCCACAATTTTCACCTTTCCAGAAGCCAGGGAGATTAATAAAGCACCGATCAATTCTTCTAAGAAAGGCAAAATGAAGTAAAAACCTTAAACTGCCTCTTATAAGAAAAGGGGGTGTGTAAACAAGTGGAAAGAGAAAATCTTATTCAGTAAGTGGTGATGTTGAAATGATAATATTTAACTATTTGCAAGAAATGGTTAAGCAGAAATCAGAATAAAATGTCAGAGATAGAGCTAAATGTAATACACGGAGAGAGAAGTAGATACAGATATAAAGATACATATCTATAAATGAATTAAATAAAAATACATCTGAACATAAAAGAGGTGGAAATAATCTGGGGGAAAGAAAAAGGTTGAACAACGTATCATTGTGCAAAACATCAAGGCAGCATGGCTCCATGAAGCCTTTAATTAAATGGCTTAATCAAATTCCTTCTGGTCCCTGGAATGTCTGCATTCCAGGCTGAAGCTATCTCTCCAGCCTACAGAACCCCGACCGATGATCCATGCCCCTGTGAGATTCTCCCAGCATCCTCTCTACCAAGACTCCCTTCCCCCCTAATCAATACCCTTTCCTGAGGATGGCATGGTTTTCCTGTTCCCGACCACTTCACTGGTGCTCCTGTTCCCCAGCTTTCAAGCCTTTACAGAATCTTCTTTTTAATATCTCAAGCTTCTGACAGTACAAGAAAAGGAGATGGTAAAGAGAAGAGAGGGGGGCCGAGCCTCCAGGAGGAGAAGGCTGACAGTTCACTGCTAGACGGGACTTCACTGGCACACTCGGCGGTGCTGCGAGGCAGGGTTTAAGAGATGCCTGCTCCCATCGTCCTCTGACTGCAACTAGATGACATGCAATCAGTTTTTTTCCAAAAACATATAAAATAAGAGCAACATATGCTTATATAAAACCATAAACTCATCTACCAATACAGAATAATTCCTGAAAAACTGGACTCTGAGGAACAGATTTAGTAACTCTTAAGAAGTCAAACGCCACCCTCTGAGGCCCTGTACAGCACCCAGATTCAGAAAACCTGCATGTGGGCCCTAATTCTGCCATGTACCACTGTGTAATTTTATCTTAGTCATTTAATTTCTAACTTTTACTTTCCCAATTTAGTCAATGGAGATAACAGTAATTTCTAGAATCATGAGAGTTTTTGAAAATTACTGATTCCTAAGTTGCCCCACCCCAGACCTAGGGAATCAGAATCTCAGAGATGGGGAAATTTGTAAGTCTTCTCTATTTCAAAATCTCCCTGGTGTGATCTGGACACATAGGACTCTGAGGACTGGTAGCTGGAAATGCTGCAGCACCTTGGTGGGTTAGCAACACCTCCAACCCTACCTTGCCTCTCTCACTGTTGCTCGAGTCCATAACCCCTTTCTCCCTGAGGAGTCAGGCTGCCCATGTGACGTTTAGAACTTGAGGAACCATCAGACGGTGACCTGGGAGCTGGGCAAGCAGGGGCCTCCTCCATCCCGCTGCCGACGAGGAGGTGCGGCAGAAACAAAGACATGGCTCCATCCTGTGAAGGTGGTTCTCAGACATGTTTCTTGTGGGAGGTGGTAGTTAGGAAAATGCTTACTTACATACAGGCCAGTGGAGACCCTGGTCTGGCTTGGAAGCTAAGAGCTATGTTCACACTACTTCAGTGGGAAAAATGCTTTGCAACCTCCAGAGGAACAATTCATTATTATATGTTTGGAGCTGCCAGCACACAGAAATAGGGATACAATCCAAAATGCTGAGGTCTGGTTTCTGGATTTCTTCCAAGTGATTTTTGTCTTCTTTTAGTGTAACCATGAAATTACACTTGACGCCTTTTTAAGTACCGAGCTTTCTTTGATTCAATACCTACGTCAGCTTCTTTCAATGATTATTTTCCTATTATCAGAGGTTAAGGGACAGAATGCAATTCTTTAAAGAAGTGATTTTGAATGGACAAATCAATCCCCTTGGATTACCGGTGAGCTTTTAACCAACTGTTAGAAATATGTGCTAAGAGTCAAAGACTAACACAGGAACCGGCACTGATAGGATAAAGTAAAACAGCCCCCAATAATACCGACTTCTGATCATGTGCCAGTGTGCTAGTTATGGTTACACATAATATTTCAGCCTTTATTCTTCCTGGTCAAATTGTTAAATTGCTTTCTATTTCCTCTGCTAAAACCCTAGTTTGCACCTGAGACGACAAGTACCATAAGCACCATCAGGACAACGTATGTTTATAAAGCACTTCTGTTTCCAAAGGGCTTTCACAAGCATTAGTTTATGTGTTGCTCACAACAGACCCGCAGCAGGCAGATCTGATATCAGCCCCATTTTATAACGGGCAGCTGAGTCGGCACTCGGCCAGCCATCAGGGAGTGGAGGTGGGCCAGCTGTTGAAGGGTGTGAGGAACAAGGGGAAGCCAAGCGGACATAGTGAGTGGAGACCAGACCACACGGAGCCGAATTCTTCAGAGTGTGAACCAACTGAATAGCAACATTCATTGACTCCAGACAACTGGATCTGCTTCCAGAAAACAATCATGGGAAAGAGTCATCTAGAAACGAGGCTAAGGAACAGTGGCCGCCATGTGCCCCAGAAGCCTTCAGATCCTTAGGTTGCTAATGTCCTCTACCATCATGCCCAGAGGTGGCAACCTGAGGCTCAGAGTCTTTAGTACCACCCCCCCCATCCCCTCATTCCCTTTGGCTTATGAATTAATGAGAGGAAAAGCTCAGGGAGGCTATCCATCGCTGGTGTGTTCTTTCCATGAGTCAAAAAGTTGACCCACAAAAGACTAGCAGAATCCTAGAAACAGAGCTCATGAGATTCGCTCAATCAGCAAATTGTTGCTGAGCCCCTTCTATGTGCAACCATTCTTCTAGGCAACAGGATGCAGCAAGGAATCAAAGAAAAGACCAGCTCACATGGAGCTTCTATTCTCACCACGGCACCCACGTTTAGGCCTTTCTACTTGCTTGTAACTCTTCCTGGACCACTCTACCCCCAGAAATCTGCATGAGTCACTTACTCTCTAACCTCCTTCAGATTTTTACTCCATTAACACCCTTTCTGCAAGGTCCTCTTCCAACCACACTATGCAAACTCGCATCATCTTCCAGAACCATCCTTCCCTATTTTCCCTAACACTTATCACCATCTAACACATTATATGTTTCTCTTATTTTTTCTTATTTTTCTCCTCCCACCAGAATCCATGCTTCAGAAACGCAGGGGTGATTGTCTGGTTTGCTCATGACAGTATCCCTAGTGCCTTTAGCTATAACTGGCACGTAGTAGGCATGAAATAAATCCTGGTTCGTTCGCATGATCAAACAAGGCTTTTGACACATGCAGATATATGCAGGCCTCCTGTGTTCACCTGTATTCATTATCATAAGCCTCATGGATATTCCTACATAGGCCTAAGTTCCTTCTCTTGGTCATACAGTTTTAAAAGCCCTATATGTCCAAATTTGCAGGCATTTATCCTTACTTTACTTGGTTTGCTTTAGTTCTTTGTGCTTAAACGAAACATTTTTCTCTTCTTATGTGGTCTTCAAACACGAGCATTCTCTTCTTTTCATACTCAGACCATTTATTACATTCCCTGCAGAATCCCTAAGCACTTAAGACTATTTGTAGCTACACATATGTCAATTCACAATATCACAAAACAGCTCTACAAAAGATAAAAATGATGTCAAATGTCTAATTTTTATTCTTTTCAAATGCAATCTCTGACTTTAAAAGTAGGCATACATGTAAACAAAAGCAGTCTAACTGAATTAAAATTCCAAATCTAATAAAACCTTCCCCTCTCTTCCTCTAGTATATCTTTGGATGTCTCTAAATAGTTGGGTTTCTCAATGCAAACATCTGAGTTGCAGTGATTTTCAAGAGAAAGATATGAATGTACAAGGCCTCTGATACAGAAATAATTAAATGCTATGCTTCTTAATTCTCTAACTCCTCAAGAAACACTGGCTAACAAGGAGAAATGAATGGAAAATGCCAGAAGAGCTGATCTTACGGCCTGTTCTCCCACCTACTATAATGTGACCCCAGGGCCAGTTTTTGCTTTCTTATCTGTACAATGATAATATACCCTGCCCTTCTCACCACATAGAACTTTTCCGGGAATAACATAAATTAGTAGTGGGATATGCTCTAAACTACACAGCAACAGTCAAATGAAAGGTAGAATGATTTTGCCTAAAGGCCAAGTCCTCTTAACGGCTCCTTGAGGCGCAGTAAAACCCACAGTACAGTTGACCCTTGAGCTGTGCAGGGGGTTAGGGGCGATGATCCCCCTCCCCCGAGTCAAAAATCCGCATGACTCTGACTCTCCCAAAACATAACGACTAATAGCCTACTCTTGGTTGGAAGCCTTACTGATAACATGAACAGGTGATCAGCACACATTTTGTATGTTATATGTATGTTACACTGTATTCTTATAATAAAAGAAGCTAGAGAAAAGATGATGTTAAGAAAATCATAAGGAAGAGAAAATACATTTTCAGTCCTGTAGTGTGTTTATGGGAAACAATCTGTGTAAGTGGACCAGTGCAATTCCAGCTCATGCTGTTCAAGGGTCAGCTGCAGTTCTTTCTGCTTCTCATCCCCTTATATCAAATACATCACAAAAAAGTAATTCTTTATAGATACATTTTGGGATATACCTTTGACTGTATTGTCCTCAGATTAACGAGATGAATGTCACAAGGCAAAGATGACAGTAACGGAGAGAATTCACCTAGCAGCTGAAGGGTGGGCACGGGGATCTTTTCTGTCATTGTAAAGACAGGATGATTCGGGAAAGAGGAAGTTATGTGGCTAACGAGAGAAGGATAACTGACTGACTTCTTTTCTTCTTCCTATCAAGAAAAAACAGAAATGCTTAAGTGTTATATATATATGCAGTTTTCACAATATTAATGGAATTACCTGACAGGGTTTAAATAGAAAAGAAATATAAACAAAAACAAATATTTTAATTTTATATTTTGTAAATAACAGTCTTAGCCAACACAGAGATTACCAAGTCCATTTGTAAGCAATACAAGAAAATGAACAGTGTCCACCTAACTCATGTTTAGAAAGATCTTTTTTCCATTGCTGTAGTACTAAAAATCCTGATAACATTTTCCAAAAAACATTTTAGGACAAGGCATAACATTTTACGGAAACTCTTTCTCAACCTACCACAAAATTCTTAAATAGATGGGCTGGGATATTCACACATCTTGCACATCATCAAATGTGATCTCTTCTCCCTCAGGTTTTACCCACCATATACTCATGGTTTCATTTATACACTCAACTAGACCATAACATCTTGTGATCTGAAGCTATGCTCCATACATGTTACCCAATGACAGGATTTTTGGGGGAAAAACTCTCAAAATAAATAAGGTTTTTAAAATAACACAAGGAGTATACCTATATCATCTGTTAAATTTGGTAAATCACTACCACTGAACTGAAACTGTTAAATTATGTTATATAATAGTTAGTACATATTTACCTAGTACACAATTATTCAGTAGAATTTAAAAGTACTTTAGTCATTGCTATGGTATATACTTAAAGACAAGTGGTTCTGCATGTTCAAACATTAAACAAGTCTGCCAGGGCTGGCAATAGGCATATGGTAGATGACACACTCAATTAACTAAATCGATGACTAAGTAGAATCTTAACCAATAATGCCTAAGGTATAAGAGCACACAGAGAAAAACACTGAGAAGAGAAAATAATTTATGTAGAAAGGTTTTTTGATCAACAGTGACATGTGGAACAAATTTAATTTTGTATCTTATTTTTAAACTGTCCATTTCACTGATATCCTCTGATTTTGCATCCTTTCTGCAATACAGGGCTCAAATAAAAGGCTTGGCTACTTATCTGGCCGAAAAGATAGGATTTAGAGGAGATACGGGGCTTAAAATTCAGAATGTCAGATTAGCACTGAACAGAGGGTATTGAGCAAAGAGTGACAAGCATCTTGCCAGCAGCGAACTGTAGATGTCATTACAATTCAGACTATGGAGAAAGAAAAAAAATTAAAGGCAGTAGAGGGACAGTGCATACTGAGATACTGACACAAGGTCTAAATGACTTGTAAATAAAATATGCACCCATCCCACACTCTTTTTTTAAAAGAAAGATTAAAAAAGCATATATAATAATATTCACCAACAATACTGAAATTTAATGCATGTTGTTGAATACTGAGGGAACAGTTTCAACTGGAAACTTTAAATGTACTCCAAGATCAAAGGACTTCATAATCTAGGTCAGGATTGCTGACAAAATCACTTTTCAATAATAAAAGATAAAAGATCCCAACAGAAAAGAAGACACCTGCCGTATCAGAATCAGAAGGCATTAAGTCCATTCTAGGTCAAGTAACATTCAGAGAATGCTCTCTGGCTTTGTTCTATGCTCTTGGAGGAATCCCTGGACACTTCAGTGAATAGGTGGGATACTTCTTGATGGATTATGTATACCTTTCAAACAGTAATGTGCATATATACTCTTCCTCCCAACCACACCAGTTCCCTTGACTCTCAGTGCCCCCCTGCAACCTACCATACATAAAAATGGCTTGGGGAGCTTTAAACATAGATCCCCGAACCCTAACCCAAATCTACTTAATCAGAATTTCCAGGGGTGAGCCCTAGGAAGCCAAAGCTTAACAGCCCCCAGAGTGAATCTCAAATCTCGGTCAGTCTGACACAGCTCTGTGGACACGTGCTGGGAACCATCACCCCAGACATCCTCCCAACCTTGTAGAAGAAACCGCTGCCTTTGCAATCAAATGTCTGAGTCTCATCCTTTAACTAGTTTTGGATTAAGAAAATGATTCAGACTCAGAAACATGTTAATGCTAAGTCTCGTCAAAGGAAACAATATCATGACTGTAAGTGCTTCGAGAATTCAAGAACTGTGCCATTTACTGTCCTAAGCAGGATAAGGGAGAGAAGTTTAGGGAAGATTTGTGGTTCAGAGCTATAAAAGCACCACGAACAAATAACGCTGCTGGAAGCTGGCCAGGCAGGGTGGGACAAAATCTCACAGAAGGTTCCATGATTCATGCACTTTCTTAACATGTTTATAGCAACGAGGGGCTCGACAAGATATTTAGCTGGTGAATTATCACCTTTTGATTAATCTCCTGGAAAGGTAATCTTTTAACTGTAACCTTTATGATAAACCCAAAGCTTATAACACATGTTTGCTATAGGAAATTTTAAGCTGTAAATGAATTCTCCAGCCTTGCAGTACTAATATACTACTCTAAACATTATTTGGTTCCTTGTGGGTTGGAAGGCTTCAAGCTGTTCAGATCTAGCTTTCTCCTTGCATTCTGTATGAGATTATAAAGAGTTTATAGCACATTCTGATCCAAACCACAAGAAGTTGAGATCTTCATTGGGTTCCAGCCCTTATTTTATAAATCAGAACTTCCTGCTAGGCTCCATGGTGTCCTTCATGAAGCCCATTTAAGTTATCTGATCCCTAAACATCAAAGGTTTCCATCCATCTACAGCAAAACTTGCTAAATAAATTATCTAAGACAATAAGAGATGATATTTTGAGTCACTTTGGCTTATTCAGTATGACCTGATACATGGTGAGAACTTGATAAATGTTTTTTTAAACTTAATCTATCAACAAGTAAATGTAATATAAATAAAGGAGAGAAAAATACAGTAGGAGAAAGGATGTGGTAAAAAGAGACAGAAGAAATAATTGATGAAAATTAATGAATCATAAGATTTAGAAATATATCTCATTTAGCGCAGAGGTGAAGCCTGGTGATCTGTGAGCTAAATCTGCCTACACATAGGTTTTGATAGGTCTGCATGGTATTAAAAAGTTGTCTGTTTTTTGGCCAACTCTCAAAAAAGAAAAAAAATCCAGGAGATCTCACAGTGAAATTGTCAACAACAACAAAAAAACTCCCTAAAACAGGTAACTTTTTTTTTTTTAAACCCAAAACACTGGAAACCCAAGTCACCCTGGGCCCCCATATTCCCTCAAGCGCAGCTGAGTTGTAGCTCCTTGGTGGGATGTGTCCTCACTCATCACAGACCTGGGGTCACCTCACTTACGCGTTTGCCCTTAAACCTGACCAACCTCCCTCATGCCATCACTTTTCTGAGTCCTGTCAGCATTTGAGCTTTTCATCTGATCTCTCCTAGCTCCTTTTCCTGACATGTAAAGAACTGGTATCCACAGGTAAAATGACACAACTGTAATACCTGAACACTTCCCAGCACTTCTAATTCCTGGTTCAATGCCCTCTACCTATAGCAGTCTTCAGCAGGAAGGGATAGGGAGTAAGTGTCAAAGAAACAAAACCTAAAGGGTCAATGCCAAAGAGACAATTCCCACTTTCCACTTCCGTTGGTCATTACACATGGATGATAGTCCACCACACATAGCTACAGTAACCCACTGGGCATCTGCACATCTCACAGCAATTATCATTCCAGTCCTTGTTCTCACTGCCTCTCTGCAGAACACTCACGAACAGGATTCGGTTCCACTTAGTCACCCAGATAACTCCTCCCAGAGGCTCTGGCAGGCTGAAGACTTTCTACTAAAATGCCTTCCTGTACAGAGACTGTCTCCTCACCATGGTTCCTACCATCGACATCTTAAACATGAGAGTCTGAGTTGAAAATAAAAACACTTTCTGCAAAGTTTAAGTTATAGGAGATGGAACATTCCTTAATCAAATGCCTTTTTAATCAATTGCACTAGAAATTAAAATGTATTTTCTCTTCTCTAGTTCATTTTTTATTTAAAAGAAACTATTGATTTAAGTCCAAGAATCTATAGTTGAGCAAAAAGAAAAATTTAACCAACATAGGATTATACAAACACTGGATCAAATTTCAATCAATTACTATCCAAGGAGTTTTGAATGGGAATAAACAAATTATTTCACTTCTAAGTGAAAGCTTTATAGATCTGACATGAAAATGCTTATTGCCATAGTTAATAGAAGCTTTGCAAATTAGTGTCTATATAGAGAGAAAAAAAAATCATAAAAGCCAGAGACATTTTCGGGAGGAGAAAAAGACAGTAGCTGCCAGCACTCAGACAATGATTTTCCTGTGCAGTTTTAGTCCTCAAATTAAGCTATCTTGTCAGTAATTGATTTAAACCATGAGTCCCAAGAACTGGTTTAAATCTTGACATCTAAAAATGGATATTAAAATCTTTTTTCCTAAAAGATTCTAGATACTGAAAGAATTCTTGGCTTTAATGAGCTGTTGCCATTTCATTCAATCAACCAGTGTTTTATTTATAGAATAGCTACCATAGGCAAGGAGCCCTGTGGGGTACATAAAAATGAAGCAGACAAGTCCCTGGAATGGAGCAGGGGAAGAGAACATGCCGAGTATGACAAGGCAGTAAGCAGGGGCTGGGATAAATGCAGTGGCACCATGCGCTATTACAGCTCACTCATTTATGCATTTGTGCATTCATTCATGCAACACATATCGGGTGCTTCCTCTACCAGGAACAATTCTAGAAGCAGAGGAACATGGCCCCCACTCTCATGAAGTTATGGTCCAAAAGAGGAGAGAGACAATGATCAAATATAATCACATCTATGCACGGAGGACAGATGCGCAATTCTGAGGAGGCACTGAGGATGGTGATCTGGCCTGGTCAAGAAAAAGCAGTTGACCAAGGCAGCTTTGGCCTGAACTATTATGAAGAGTTCCCTGGGCACAGAATGAAACCACAAATGCAAAGGTGCTGTGGGCCCCAGGTGCGTAGGGAGCACTTGGGACTGAAAGAAAACTAGTGGGCCTAGAGCAGAAATAACACGAGTCATGCTGGATGAAGCTGGGGGACAGGCAGGGCCCAGATCATGAGGGGCTCTTCAGGCCATGGGAAGGATTTTGGCTTTTATTAGGAGAGCAATGAGAAGACACCTGAGGGTTAAGAAGGGAGCAGTGAGGTCAGATTGAATTTTGAAAAGATGAATCACTTTGCTTACTTGATTTGAGAACAAATATGGCAGGAAAAGAAGAGCAGAATGATTCAGGAAACACATGATGTTTGTTTAGATAATGGTGGTCAAAATAAGCGAGTTTATAGATTTGAAATATTTAGGCAATAAGATAGTCAACACTGGTGATCATTGTTTTAAGAAAGGGGCAGGCAAAGGAGAAGTATCAATGAGAGATGACTGCTATGTATGTGGCACTGGATGGAAGGTGGTACTAGTCCCCGAGAGAGCAAACACTAGAAAAGAGCAGGTCTGGGGGGAAGGGAAGAGAGATCATGAGAGTGATCATGGATATGTCGGGTCTGAATAGCAGGATGCAGCTAGGTAGATGGGTCTGCAGGTAAGAGGTGAAATATATGTGTGGGTTTCATCTGCGTAGAGGTGGTCACCAAAGCCACAGGAGTAGGAGAGATTGCAGAGGGAGAACATATAAGACGAGAAAAGGAGAAGGCGTGGGGCCAACCCTTGAGGACTCTGACATTTAATGGCTTAATAACCATCAGAGAGATAAAAAACCACTTGAGAGCTAGGAGGAAAACCAGATGAGCATGGCACCACGGAAGCCCTGGCTAGACTGTCTTCTAAGAAGTGACATGGTCAGTGTCGAATGCTGCTGCAAGGTGAAGTAAGATGGTGGATCTCGTGACACTGGCAAGGGTGTGTGTGTGGTGGGGGAAGCTAAAGCAAATCCAAAATGAGTTGAGTGTGACACGGAAGCAATGAAATAAACCCATCTTCCAAAGCGGCTCAACTGGGTGTGGAAGACAGGACGGGAGAGCAGGGCAAATGGACATGAGTCTGTGTGGAGGTTGTTTTTGGTATGTATGTATGTATGTATGTATGTATTTATTTATTAAAGATTTTATTTATTTTTTAGAGAGCGAGCGAGCGAGAAACAGCATGAGAGGGGAGAGGGTCAGAGGGAGAAGTAGGCTCCCCGCTGAGCCGGGAGCCTGATGTGGGACTCGATCCCAGGACCCTGGGATCATGACTCAAGCCAAAGGCAGACGCTTAACCATCTGAGCCACCCAGGCGCCCTTGGTTTTTATTTTTAATAGGAGAAAATGAAGAGTGTCTAAAAGCCTGCAGAAAGGGTTTCTTTCCTAGGGAAATGTCAGCTATGAAGGGCAGAGAGAGGGAAGGAGGATGATGATGCTGAGGAGGGCGCTGGGGTACATTGCAAGGACAAGTGGAGGTACTGGCCTGGGAGGAAAGGAAGGTAAAAATGTCTCTATTGCAACATGAGGGAAGAAGGAAAGGGTGGGAGGAGATGGTTGATACCTAGAACAGAGAGCCCTGTCAGATGTGAAGTCGATGGTGAGGCCACCAGCTAAAAAGAGTAGAAAAGATCTGAAATGGATCAGTGAAGAAAGAAGGAGAGCAGAGTGAGAAAAAAAGGGCTGTGTACAGATCATCTGAGGTGGGAAATCAGTAAAGCACGGAGGACTGTGATGATGACTTTTGTGTAGCCTTGAAGAGGCGTATTGTCATGTTGGTTTACATCCAACTGAGCTTTAGCTAGATTTTTTTAATGGAATGCTGAGGTTTTGTCTTGAGAAATGAAAACTGAGCAAGAAGATAGACAAGTAAATCCATTTTCAATTGAGGAGTCTAAGACTAGAATAAGCACACTAAGGTTTCCCATAAATTTTACTAATCAAACTTAATCTAAGTATGTGATTAAGTTCTATTCTTAAATTCAACTCTTATTTTCTTTCAAAATAATCTCAGAAAATCTCACCCAAACTGATTCTTTAACATTTTACATCTACATAATAAGGAAAAATAAAAAATAAGATGACCTAAATGCAAATCTGACATATGTGTAACTGAAGTTCTCTTTTTTGTCAATATAGGCTACACCTATTATAAAGATATCTCTATCCTGGGAACTGAAAATCATAAAAAAAGTGGACAGTCATAATTTCAAGTTTTGGGTGGCAAAGAACAAACAACATCAGAACGTATGAGTTATTATTTTTTTCCTACCGTATTCACACTTCTTTTTTCCAGTAGTAGTCGAAATAAATTAGCTGTAACCTTGTTATCATGGACACCTTGCTCAAGGCCGCGATTATCATCTTGCATGAGTCTTCCATCCATGATAACTTCAATCTGACCTAACAAACAAACAAACAAACTGGCCAGAGTTATTTAATACAAACATCCAGTGACAATCACATAAGTTTAGGCACGGTCCTGATTTAAGCCAAGGAGACAGATCCATATAGCCCAAAGTACCAAGGGCTTTCTCAAAACAGCTAGGATAAATGCAAAAAACAGGACTTTATTTCCGTTCTTCTTCATAAATGTCTGGTAAAATTTGGTAAGAAATTTAAAAATGAGACAGATCAAAACTTAAGTGAAATTTAAAAAGAATTAATCTGAAGAGTAAATTATGTCCTCTAAAATTTTTAGTGGTAGCACCTGGAATTTAAAAACATTTACGAGGTTCATTAGGAAACATACATCACACCTGGAGTAACAAGGCAAATACAGATGTGTAGAATCTAAAAAGGATTTGAAAGACTAAGCGTTTTGGTTACTTGGTATCTGGTGATTCTCTGAAGAAACCCCAGGATTTGGAGACACCAAGCACGTACCCCCTTCCCTCCCTGGTATTAAGTTAGTGGCATCAACTATCCTCTCTCCTCTAGTTCAAGAAGAGGTCATATTTGGTTCCTTCATTGGCTGTGCAGTAATTCCACACCTCCTCTAGGTTAAGTTGTAAGCTAAGAATTAGGCTATGAGACTACAAACCAAAAAACCCTATCCAAAACAAAGCAAAAAACCACCCAGAGCCACAGTCATATATTTACACTAAAAAAAACCCTAGTCATACATAAAAATATATGCATATTCATCCATCCACTCATTCACATTTGTTACAGTACTAAATGATCTTTTGGCATAAAAGAGCAATACATAAAATATTTTAATAACTATTATTTTTACACAGTCAATCCAACTCTGTTTAGTTCTTTCTTCTCAATTTAGGTACCCAGTACATAAAACTGCCAGTGATGGTCAGAATTTTCGTTGTTACTACCTCCATATTTATTTTAGAACACAACTGTCTAGAATGTGCTCCTCAGGCACTGGGACGAATTGGCCATCTAGAGCTTGATCATGTCACACCCAAATGAGTACATCAATCTCTTGGCAGTTTCTCTCTTCTCCCTGTCTCCAAATGTTAGCCCTCATAATATGTGACACTCAGTAAATCTCCTGGGCTGTACTCAAATTGTTCTTCTGTTTGTAGGCACTGAAATGCTAGGGTGCTTGGCTGTCTGAAGCAGGGGCACCTGGGCCAGGTGTGACTCTTGAGCCCCCCATTTTTAAACGTTGCCTTAAATTCTCAAAGCTGGGTCCTTAAATAGGGAACTAGACATTAGGACTGGAGCAATCATGGAGTAGACAGTTATGTCACTTCCCTTGACAAAGGCAAGCTGAGAAATAAAGCTCCTCTGTCCCTAAACCACATTTAGGAATTTTATGTGAAGTTGTCCAATCTATAAATAGTTGACTTAATTTTTTAAAAATCAAAACATATGGAGTGCCTGGGTGGCTCAGTCATTAAGCGGCTGCCTTCAGCTCAGGTCATGGTCCAGGGGTCCCGGGATCGAGCCCCATATTGTGCTCCCTGCTCCCTGGGAAGCCTGCTTCTCCCTCTCCCACTCCCCCTGCTTATGTTCCCTCTCTCGCTGTCTCTTTCTCTGTCAAATAAATGAATAAAATCTCCAAAAAAAATAAAAATAAAAACATAAAAAATTCCAGACTCCTGGGCTCTTCAGAAGCAGAAAAATTTGGCAACCCTGGGCCCCTTTCCCCATGGTGACAACAACCTGGCGCTGAGCAGCGGCTGCCCCACCGTTCACTGGGAATGGTGTGCCCCAGTTTGCCGAAGCCCCACCACTCCCCGCTGCATCCCTGATGTGAGGCCATTATTATTTTTCTAACAGCGTTAATGTCTTTATGGCATCATCTCATGAGTCTGTGTAATGAAAGCCACAAAAGAAGATGAGTAGTATGCTTTTTTGTGTGGGTGGACATATGGAATGTATGTATATGCCCAATTAAAAAAGTGGGTTTGGGGCAAAGGGTACGTCAGGTACCTGCACACCTTTATTATCTGCCTGGCTCCTTAAGACATTTGTCTTAGCAACTCTTAATATGTAAGAAAGAAGAGCACTTTGACTACATATAAATGATAATGAAAAAATATATATTATAAAGGACATACGCCTCTCCATAGAAGGTTTTATAAAAATTAATCTGTGTTTACGATTTATTTTCTCTTTCCATCTTGTTCTATCTTTTGGAATCCTTAAAGTTGTGTCTGTCACCTCTTTATCTGCCTAGCTGTATCATTGCAACTCCCTTTCTTCTTTCGGGTAGAGGTGCCCTAGAACGATACGATTCAGAGAAGGACCTAGGTTTGAACTGTTACGTCCCGCCTTTGCGAACTTAGGCAACTCTGGGAATTTCTAACTTTTACCCCAGCTCCCTCTCCTCTTTGGCTTCTGGGAGAGTTTCCACAGCCATTCCATTATGACAACGACAGAGGCTTGTGCAAACAATGAGCTATCAGGAGAGAAAAATTATCTTTAAGAAGCCATGGTTTCATGGAGCTTTAGGTCCCTCATTCTTCATCAGAAGATTGAAGAAATACATTATTTTATGTTATTCTCACAAAACCAAAATTAACTAATAGCTGGTGTCTGAAGATGATAATTAATAATATGACCAACAGAAAAATTATACATTTGGAACTGAAACTTGTAAGAGCAAAAAAGAATCCAAACAACACGCACCACTTTTCAAACTTGAAACCCCTAAAGACTGAGCTGAGAGTAATGTCAAGCGATGCTTGGTGTCCTGTATATAGGCCATTGTGGTCATCGGATAGACATTTGCTTGAAGAGGCAATTTGCTCATCGTCATTCTGGGCTGAATCTATAAGACCAAACAGTTCACTTTAAAAAAAAGAAATCAAGGGATATTTACAGATGTACTTTAAAAAATTAGTACTGACTACAGATGACGTTTCTTCCAAAAAGAAAAAGGTATAGCTTCCTTTCTTGTTCAAAGGAAGAGCTAATTTAGGAATTAAAACATTCTTTCAAACAATATGAAAAAAAAAAAAATAAGGAGGATCTTAGAAAACTTTTAGGTGAGAAAGGTAGAACTTATCCAGGTTCTTAAAATAGGCATTCCTATTTAAATTCAGAATAAAAATCCTTAACAAAAGTCTTCTAGCTTTCCAATATTTGCATAAAACAAATTATAAAGGTATCAAGTATTCATTTCTCATCTAAATCTAACATACTGCTTTTGTAATGAATGCTAAGCATAATAGCTCTCTATCCCCTTTCAAAAAATCTCTCTTATAATTCTTGAATCAGTTTTAATAAATACCACAGATCCCCTTATCAAATCCTCTAACATATTACATTAAAATAATCAAATTAATATTTATATTTAAAAACTCTTCAGTGCTTATTCTTCCTGTTTAGTGTCAATGTAGGTAGTTCCATATTTTAACTTTTCTTGGTCTGGTATGTGAATGCATGAAATACATTATTTTATTTTTTGACCGAAAATTCACTAAGCTGGTTGGGGCTGAGGAGAGTCCCTCAAACCTCAGGAGGAAACATCAAACAGAGACTTTGTTACGAGGTATCTTATTCACACCACATAAAAATGACATCTCTCCTGTTCAGCTCATGCAAGTCTGACATGACACTCAAGAAGAAAAGGAGTACAAAGTTAATGTAATAGTATTGAGTGCCCATTATAACGAGACAAAGTACGGGCATTCGCAAATATGATCTTTAATCTTTACAACAACCCTGTAGTGCATCCTTTAACTTACTGGTTGTACTGAATAGTGTCCCCCAAATTCATGGTCATCCATAACCTGTGAATGTGATTTTGTTCTGAAATAGGATCTCTACAGACATAAGGTATAGTGGATTAGGGTGGGCTCTAATCCAAGGGCTGGTGTCCTTCTAAGCGGGAAACATGGACACGAAAGGACACACACGGCAACACAAGGAGAATACGACAGGGACTCTGGGACAGCAGAGGCAGACAGTGGAGTGATGGGTCTACAAGCCCATCAGAAGCCCCAACAGGCAAGGAAGAGTATTTCTCTAGAGCCTCTGGAGGGAGTGTGGCCCTGAAGACATCTTGATTTGGGACTTCTGGTGTCCAGAACTATGACAGAATAAATTCTTGTTGTTCTAAGCCACCCATTTTGTGGTAATTTGTATCACAGGCCCAGGAAATTATGAACCTGAAGAAAAAACTGCAAAATGTTAAAATAAAAAAAAAGAAAGAAAGAAAGAAAGAAAAAAGGAGAGTTTCAAAGAATTTTCCATTTCTCCTTTCCAATCTGGATCTTCCCAATCAAATTAACTTGTATACTCACTGAAAAGGACATTCACACTGTCATGACTATAGGGCTGCCACCCTCACTCCCTACCTGTTGGTCTAGATTTCTAGTTTTGCTCAAGGACTACTCTTTCCAAGGCTTAAAAAATGGCCTATTTTAGAAGCAGAAATATTTAGGTCATAAATTTAGAAATTTAGAAGTTTAGAAATAATATTTTCCCATTTATTCAAATGCTCGATCCTTGAAAAGAAAATTCACATGTTTATTCACTTTTACTAAGTTTTTTTCATTCATGTATACACCCACACATACAAATAATTGCTTTTGTAAGATTTTAAGAAAAGAGTTTCTTTTGTACACAAGGAAAATGAATCACCATAAAGTCAGGGCTTCATTTGAAAACCAAACAGCTGTGGTAGAATTAACATGTAAATTCAAAGTGTATAATGCAATTTTTATGCTTTGGAAAAGGTTTAAATTTAACCTTTGCAGGAAATTGTAGAAGAGAAAATTATCACAACCCCTTCCACTCATCCCAGTTGAAAATCAGACAAAGTAAAAGCATTTGTTGTGAAATTATTTCTATTCATAGCCAGAAATTTCTAAAATGCTAATGTCTCAAAAACATGCTAATGTTTTTAGTGGTAGTATTTCAAAGCTATGTTGTCACACACATATACTCTGAATATAGAAATTTATGTAACAATCAAAAGAGCCCTATTAAATTAGAGAGCTAACAATCTGAAAAAGATTGAGTCAATTTTCTCATTACTATTTCAAACTATTTTGTGAACATTTTGATTAAATACATACCTGCCCACATTTCTATATATGTGCTTGTATTTCTTTGTCTATGTATATGTACACAAGTGTGTGCATAAAGGTAAATACACATACATTATTGATAAAAAGAGGGAAAGAGCTTTCCTGAAATTTAAAAGAGCCCATTATTACATTATACATTTAAAAGTATATATGTAATAAATTAAATACACACATACCATTTCTTTATGAGGGGAAAAATACATACTCCACCAATCCCTAATTATGTTTCCTTTCTATTAAACAAATTCAGATATATTTTGGTGTCAAGGCATTTAACATGCAAATGGTCACCAAATCTGCCTTTGAAAAAACTACCTCCGTAAATCAGATGCTCTACAAACCAATCTCTCAAATATCTGTTCTAACTTTGGACATCTGGTTGAATATAGAACCTATAAGTACCTGTTAAAATTCAGTTTTCCTTTAGAAATAATTTGTAAACTTAAGCATATTTTTCAAAGGATCCAAAATTAACTGGCCCACTACCATATATAAAAGTTACACACTAACACAGCTATTACTTAGACATTTTAAGGGAAAATTACCTGATATCCATTCAGGTCAGTATAGAATTTGTTTTGACTGTTTATGCTAGAAGAAATTCTCATTGCAATCTCACGGTTATGTTCTTTTCGGATGTCCACGATATTGGACACTTCCACAGACTGTCCGTCTATTCCTAAATTTAAAAGAATATATATGTTAATAGAAATTGATTGCTCCACTTTTCTTATACTGTACAGAACTTCCAGAGTGACATACATTTTCCCGTTTTCTATTCCTATCTTCACCATTTTTCATGCTAACTGTGCCACCGTTCACCTTTTTCTTTCTTTTCTTTCTTTCTTTTTTTTTTTTTTACACTGTCAGACAGTAGAAAACATTTACTCCGGAGAACATGTAACTCAACAGAAGGATGAAGAGCTTGGGATGAGATAAACGCAGATGAAATATAACATGCAAATGATTCTCCAATGAGTTCTGGAGGGAAAAGAGAACTTTAAATGAGAAAAGGTTAGCCCCACTCCAGGCCAGGCTGCCTGTCACGTGTACGGCCATTCTCCAACAGAGCCATGTGAGCTTATTTCTTCACGGCTCGCCTTCCGTGCTGGAAATCTGAAGCAGTGAGATCTACACTCTGTTGGTTCAAGAGACAGTCTATTACTGCCCATGATCTATAATCTAGGAAAAGAGACACGAGATCCAATGAGATGCTTTATGGCTAAAATGGATATTATCATATTAGTATTTGTGGAGTATAATCTGGACAGCTCCCCAGAAGTTAAATCAATTTTTTTTTAAGATTTTATTTATTTATTTGACAGAGAGAGACAGCGAGAGAGGGAACACAAGCAGGGGGAGTGGGAGAGGGAGAAGCAGGCTTCCCGCCGAGCAGGGAGTCCGATGCGGGGCTCGATCGCAGGACCCTGGGATCATGACCTGAGCGGAAGGCAGCCGCTTAACCGACTGAGCCACCCAGGTGCCCCAAGTTAAATCAATTTTAATTGAGTTTGGTATCTCTTAGGACCCCTTGTTATGGAGTGATTCATTTTGCCCTTTGCTATATGAAGCAGAGGACAGCTTGAAGAAGTCCCAGATGTATCAAACATTTATTTTTTTGGATAAGCCTAAACTTTTCACTAATTTCTATCTGTCATGCCACCCTAACTATATCTTCTGGTCCTGAGTGAAGCCTTGGGTCTATTTCCGAGACGGAGAGGGGAGTTATGGAGTTATCCAACACTCCTAATACAGACTGAGTATGTAGAAGAGATACTGGATCTCCTACAAAAGAGCAATCAGGAAAGCAAGCAATCAAAAGAAGAAAGACCGGCCCTATCCTATTTCATACGGCAGAAGGTTTTTAAGGTTCTAAGAGCCCTGGACACGTACCTGCAGTTTTCAGTCGTTACCCACCAGGCCTCACACACACTCTGTCACAGCGTGCTGATCACCAGGACACTCTTTAGACAAAGAAGGCTATGTAAAGAGAAATGGGGAGTGGGAGAAGGGAGTAAGGAGGACTTTTTCTGGAAGCCAAGAAGAATCCCCAGGGCTTAGAGAAGATGAAAGCAAACAGTTAAAGGAAGGAAGTTTGAATCGGTGGGACTGGTGGAAAATAATGAAAATGCAGCTAGCTGAGGCACTATAGGTTTATGTGAGAAGTACACCGGAAATTGTAAGACATCAATAGTAATATGCTGACAATACTAAATGGGCAGAAGCCTCCATCAACAGATTTTTCAGAATTCTCACAGAAGTTCTTTTCTGGGAGATGTTACGCCTCCAACTCGACAACCTCAGTCAGAGATGACTTCAGTTTCTTACTATGTTCATAAAGCTGTGATGAGCAGTATGACCTCATGTGTGGGGGAAGAAGGTCCTTTTCTTTTCCCTCCCACTTTATGGCCAGTCTGAACCACTAACCAGTAAAATATACATATAACTTTCCTTCTGACAATTACCAGATAACTGACCCAAATAGCTTCACTACTACTGGGAAGTTAAAAGAAAACAAAAATCACATCCACTGATGCCAGAACAACGGTGTTTTCTTTGACTAGGAAATGTATTACTTTCGATGCAAACTTTCCTTTCAGTAGGTTTATGTCAACCCCAATATCTTTCAAAGCCAATGAAATGTATATGGAATTCTAACAGACAAGCTTCCACAAATGAACCAAAGATGCCAAAAAACACAAAATACAGCATAGGGATGAAGTCCCCCATGAAGCATTCAGGCGAACACCTCATCTACTGGAGGCATTCGTGGCTGTTTGGCACCACGTCCGTTTTCTCCTCTCTAGACTGGATATTCTCCCAGGGGGTCAATAGAGTACATGAAATGAAATAAAGTCTTTACAAAGGAGAGTGTCATTAATTTCAAGTCACGTATCTCTGGAAAACATTTACAAAAAACATGCTTCAAGAAAAAATAAATAATTTCACATTACCTCCGGCAATAATAAATTATTTCTGTTGAGAAAATGATCTTTCTTGAGCTCAGTATTATGCTCAGATCCGGTTGTGGCAACAAATGCTTAAGTCTCCTTTAAAAGGAGCCTCGATGTCCATTCACAGTTCAGCAAGACATCTGTGCCAGGACAGGCTTTTAAAGTAAGATCAAACCTAATACTCTTATTACGAACAAACCAAATAAATCTTGTAATGGTAATCAAAGCAAGGAGGTATCCCTGAGTCATCAACGGTAATTTATTACTTTTTAAAGAAGAATCTATGTGAGGGGGATAAAGGACTGCTACCTTTTCCTACTCTAGGTCAAGAATTCCCTAAAGTGTGCCATTCCCAAAGAAGCTCATGGGATTGAGGGGAGAACTCCCTGGGAAGCATGGGTATGAACCGATCGGTCTCAGTGACCTGCAGAACCTTTGCAGCAAAAGGTTCTTTTACCAAATTGGTTCCACCTGGGCATGGATGGCCAGGAATTTCTAAGCCCCTCTGGTTTTTCTTCAGTCCTGGGAAAGAAAACAGCTCCTACCTAACAAGCGTAGTCCAAAGAGTTATGTCATTGATAAAGACAGAGAATTAAGAACTCCCTTGCTGCTAACACCTCACCCTCTGTCCCCAGAAAGAGAGAATGGAGATTATTTATCTTTATTAACAGAGGCAATGCAAGGTAAAAACAGAGCAAGTCCACAGGTGGAAAGCCATCATAGAGAAGCGGAAAGAGTCTTGCAGAACTCTGAAGTTTTGTTTTTTTTTTTTTTTCTCCTCCCTGGAGCCTGTTAGCTCCTTACAGATTGTCTTACACACCATCTCTGCATTCCAGTTTTTAACAATAATTTGGGGATGTAGTACGTGCTGAATCACCATTAAAGAGAATGAGTTAAGATGTGACAGGCTGTCCTTCATGATGCAGAAGTCAGCTGACATGGGAGGAAAGCAAACTAGGCCATGGACAGAGTTTAAATAGAAAGAAGGGAATAAGTACTTAGATTTTGAGCAAACACATGCATGTTAGAATGTAAGCTCCTCAAGCACTGGGACCATGTCTTATTTATCTTTATGCTCCCAGCACATAATAGGCAGATAGTGTTTGCTGAGTAACGGGCAGCAGCTACATGGAAGAATCAGCCAACAATTACTGAGTCCCCGCTATGTACCATATGCCCCGCCATATGCTTTACATACAGTAACTCATTCAATCCTGACCCTAAGCCTAGGAGAACATACCTTGCCCCAGATCACAAGGCTGACAGAACCAGCACTAAGCCTCTCGGCCATCATGTCTCACTGGCAAATTGACCACTAGAGAATGTTAAAGTTACTTTGGGACCATGGATTAGAGAAGCTTTGCAGTGACTCTAAGTAGAAAGGAGACCTCCAGGTTATTTTTTAAGAAAGGGAGAGGGTACTGATCTGGGATGATATGCTGCAAGTGCTACCTAAAGGAGACAAATACATTATCAGTAAAATAAAATAAAAATAATAAAAAATAATTATGGGACAGGCTTGCCAGAATACAAAACTTCTTCAAAACAATCCGAAATCTTTTCTTTAAAAATGTCACGGTCACTTTAGAAGCCAATAAAGTAATATATACTAATTAAAGACACTGTGATCTCACGTATTTACCTAAGATGAACACTAATCACAAGCACAAGCATGTTCACTGTGCACTGGTGCCAAGGGTAGAAACATGGGGAAACAGGCTAGATGCCCACCAACAGACAAATGAATAATAAAACCAGTACATCCACGTTTTGGACTGCTCTGTAGCAAATGAATGAGGTAGCTCTCTGCCCCGGCAAAGAAAGATATCTGATGCAAGAGGTGAATGGAGCATTTGCACAGTGTGATGAACTTTTTGCTAAAACCAAACACAATACTATACCTTTCTGCAGATATGCATGCAAGAGAGGTGTGTGTGAGAGAGAGAGAGGAGATAGAGAGAGAGAATGCAAGTGATCCGAGGGTGCACACAGGTATCTGATTACCTCTCTTGAGTAGTGGATAGGGACCACGCACAGATTCTAGAGGGATTTTACATTATATACATATACTATAATGTGTGACACTTTTGTCAAAAGAGTATACATATATATTATTTGTATACATAAAAATTATTATCTTTTTTATTCTATTTTTTTTTAGATTTTATTTATTTGACAGAGAAAGACACAGCAAGAGAAGGAACACAAGCAGGCAGAGTGGGAGAGGGAGAAGCAGGCTTCCCGCTGAGCAGGGAGCACGATACGGGGCTTGATCCCAGGACCCCGGGACCATGACCTGAGCCGAAGGCAGACGCTTAACAACTGAGCCACCCAGGTGCCCCCGAACTTACCCAACTTAACCAGGAGTTGACGCTTAGGGTTATTAACTAATACACACTGCTTCACTCAACACATAAACGACAATTCTCGCAACAATGATAAATTTAGTAGGACAATATGGAGATGATGTTTCTAAAAAAGCAAATATTATCATTTTTAAAAACTGTACTCATATCTGAAAGTACCAAGAATAAAAATGGTAATAACTCCCATAACTAGATGACCTTTTTGTCCATGTTGACTTATTCAACTTGCCTATCCATTGTAAGATCTAATTTATCCTCTGAGGTACTTGCTGATTTCCAGGTCTGTAAATGTTCATATTGACTATTTCTCCACAAGTGAAAATTTTAACATCTGCTTTCATGAATATAAATTTGAGTAA